GAGGCAAATGAAAATATGACTCGGAGTGAAGATCCTCATAGTATCACTCCACTCCATTTCAAATTTGATCGTTTTAGTGCAAGAGAGTTCAAGATTATCAGCATTTATAAAAGTTCATGTTTGGTAAAAAAAATATCGAAATTAATTTATATCTTCCAAACGTTAATAGATATGTATGTATAGGGAAATAGTATATGAATTTGTTGACAAAATGATAATGAATCATAATATGATATTATATACGGGGGGTTCCATTTGAAAAATCAAAGAAGCCGCTACTTTATAGTAGAAGCGACAACGCCGCTTCGCCTGAAATATTTTAGGCGTGTAGGTCATATTGACTTATGCATACTGTGGAATTTTCAGGTTGATCCGTTGAATAGTTTGCCAGAAACGGCTAATTAACGCTCATCATGAAAAGCCCTGATTCTGACTATAACGTAAATTTTCGATTGGAAAATAAAGAATTTAATTGAGTGTCTATCTGAAAGTGCTAGGATTTTTCCTTATACATTCAAATTCTAATCCCTCATCGACATTTCTCATAATGGAACATCAGAAAAAGGTAATTTTTCTTAATTTTCAATATCATACTCCTGCATCCTCGGGAGGCAGTGTTTTTGTTCTGCTGTGAGAAAAGTGTTTTTGATAGATAAAAGATTGGAATATTGGATAGATTTCATTAACTGCTGAAGTTTTTTCTGTTAGATATGAGGAAATAGATTCAATTATCTCATGGTGTCGCTAACTTGGTTTTTCGACGCATTTACAAGTAAAAAATTATCAGGAAGAGTTGGAGTGGGTGGATGAACTTCTTGGGTTATTATTTTTGATAAAATTTGAAAAGTGAGGAAGACCGTACTGTATATTATATACTTTTCTCCGCGATCGTTCTTACATGAATTACCGTAAATCAGTCGTCAGACGAAGCTAATTATCAAAATCTCTCGAACGCGACGTCACGTGCTTTTCAATTCTCTAGTGTAAAGTTAAATATTTTTCGAGAATTTCTGTCTCGTCTTAGACGTAGATACCGTTTCCTACAACCGGTTTATCGCTTCGAAATCACGGACCGGTATTGTTCGAGCTGATATCACGAAAAAACAATTAGCTTTTGAAATATTAACCAGCCTCTAATAAGTATCTGATGGATATCTCTATATGAAAACAGGCGAACCTTCTGTATCTTTCAGAAAGTGTAACGAAATAGGTGATTGATGGGAAAAAGTAGTCGTCGATGAAATAAACATTTCGTTTCATTTATTAGTGATGAATTTTTGCTCGGTCCTTGTGAATAACATCAGTGATAATTATAATGATAATTTTCTCATTAGTCGGTGGGCTATGCGTGAAAACTGGCAGTAAACAAATCTAAAGAAATGAACTTTAAACGTTCAAGCCAGTCTCTATATACCTACACAGTAGGTTTAATGGACTGACGCCTATCAGAAAACAACTACTCCCCTGGCTAATACCACGAAGGACGTTGGATTATATCCGACAGGCGTCAGTGCAGGAATTTTCAAGGAAAATTTTCATTGATAATGATAATTTGTAAGGCGTCACGAGACGAGGGTTTGATTTAACTTAGTTTTTATGGTTTGACAGGGGTTCTTAACCAACACTCGACAGGGATCTATACAGGGCGTTTCAACGAAAACTTGACCATCCTGTAAGTCAGAAACGGAGGTGTAATCGAAAATTTCGAAGGACACGGCAATTTTTATTTCTTGGGGAACTAATTTTGATATGAGAATCATACCCGAAACTTCACCCCCCTGCGGTCAGCAACTATCCCCTCCTATTTTTTTCAATGGCATGGGGGGTCGAGTGATACATCATTTGAAAGGTTTTTTGTCTCTCTATTACGTCTGTAATTTTTTTTCGAAATTGGTTCATTCATTATTGAGA